ACTACTACTACTACTAATACTACTGCCACCACGACGACGCCGCCGACTCCATGCTCGGGCCAGTAGAGTCGCGGGAAGACAGGCGAGCGTGTATAGACTGGCACAAAGAACAGTACCTACCACCAAGAAGGGTACAGCGAGACTCCAGCGATCACCTCCGTTTGTTGAAAGCGATGTCTGTGTTACAGCAAGTCAGAGACAGTGGTTTTCAATCCCTCCATGGGCGAATATGAGCACATAAAGCTGCACGAAGGGTGCTTGGAGACGATGCCGATACTGCTGGGCAGGTGCCTCCTTCGGCAACGACAGCACCGCGCCCTGGACGAGCTCCATGGTGGAGGACAAGACTGAAGTGAGTGTTCCGGTTGTTTGGGTCCTTCGTGCTGATCAGAAATGTTCAAGCCTGAAGGCTCGATTGATCACTGCAGTGCCTGTAAGTAGGGTTGGAGGTGGCAGACTTGCAGATTTGTACAGAACACGTTCGAAAGATCTTGAAAGTGCGTAAGCCACGTCTTCGTTCTTCAGGCCCAATGATAGTAAGAGGCCCTGAGACTGGTACGTTTTTCTGCTCAGGACACCGGGCCTGCGCCGTTGAAGCCTGGTGCACCGAAAAAGGGTATGGCCCGAAGCCTAACAGACTCAGTTGATTCGCTTAAGTGGCAGACTCTACCACAGAACTTGTGATTTGTTGACCACTGCTGGTGTATTAGCAGCATCCGGCCGTGCGAAACGAAAACGATGTTGCAGGCCAGGATTGACTGTGTCGGTGTCAAGAAGAGCCAAGGATGAATGTAAGGGTCTTGTATCGCTCAGGCGCTGGGCAAGAAAAAGAATGCAGATGTGCTTGGCAGCCTGGGCCCTGTCTGGCTTGTCCGGAGGGCTTGGCCGATCCTGCCCAACCCGAGGCATGGGCATTCCGGAGCCCACACCGTCTCCGGAGGCTGCCGGTCAAGAATGGGGCGCAAGGGCATCAGGGGCTCGGCGGAGACGGCACAGCATCACATCTGAGGGCCTTCTCTGATGGCTTAAAGGCACTATAGGCCTTTTCTGTTCTGCCCACAGCTTTGGCCAGGCCGTTGCTGAAGAGCCTGCAGCTGCGAACTCAGTCAGCCTTCAGGGCCTTGCAGGATGCTCTGCTTGTTGCGGGCCACTGCTACTGCCGCTAAGCAGACCCCGATCCTCGAAACGACGCGTTTCAGGCTGCTCCGGCATACAATCCTTTGCCGCAGCCCTAGCAAAAAAATGTCTCTGTTTCGGAGGAGGGCGAGGGCCGTGGGCTGCGTCGGAGCTTTGAGAATTGGAAACAGTCCAGTCACTCCCCGGATCCCGATTGCGAGAGTCCCTGAAGACATGGAAATTTGGTGTTTGAGGATGGATCCCGTTAGAGTGGACATCGAGGCATCGTGGGAAGGGGGAGAGCCGGAGCGATTACAGCCCCAGTTTAGTTCGGGTTCGACGAAAGTCTGCACTCCACCTTGGTTGCCGCTGCTTTCCCGGCTGAGATGTCTGCGTCAACCCTCCGCAGCTGCAGGAGAAGATTACCGCGGACCTGCAAGTGGAGGGCGGGTGCGCCTTGCGCAATGAAGACCTTGCATGCAGATTGAGGATTAGCTGCTTCTTTCTGCGAAAGCACCAGTGGCCGAGACGGAAGTCAGAATCTGATAACTAAGCCACCAAGACCATCCAAGAACCAGGTTGGAAGGTGAAGCCGTCTGCACTGGCCAGTTCCAGGCAGTCACGGCCGGGCTGTCAACGGTCTTCTGGGCCTTCGGTGTTGGGTCGACAGTTCGTGAGGTCCGGAGCCTGGAGCCTTCGCAGTCGGACCCGATCTTGGGCAGGTGACGGTGCTCGATGCCTCCAAGGCAGACCTCGCTGCCTTCAGGCGCTGTGGGCTATGCCTGCGGTCCTTCGGGCTGCTGTGTGCATGAGAGCCTTCGGTTTCAGCTTCGATCGAGGTAACAATCGCAGACAGCAGGTTAGTTGAATCCTGTGCCTGGCGTGGATTTCCTGCACGCTTGTGTTGGCGGATGCTGGCGTGGCGTGTCTTGCTTCCTGCAAGTTTGGACTGATGCACCCCGGTCACCCCGGTGAACATCATTCCTGCAAGGTTGGCCCCGCAGAACCAGGAGTTCAGGTACAAGGCTGGTGAGCTTTGCAATGGTCGGCAGAGAGCCTTAGTAATGGCTTTTTGCGCATGTTTCGTTGCTTCTTCTACTTCACATCCTTCTCCTGGCTGGGAGCTTGCAAAGTATTTCGCCGATTTCTCTGCCAACAAAACGCCTTTCGATAGTCTCTAAGAAAGCTAGTGCCTCTTGGGGAAAGGTCCGGGAGTTAAGTGCTGGACAATTCCAGAGCCCTCGTACTGGCAGATTCACCCGAACCTGAACAAGACGTCTTTGCCTCAGGATGCATTAAGTGTAACTTGATGTAACTTGGCTTCAGTCACGTGCACAGGGTCCGGAGACGGCAGAGACTTGCTTTTCAGATGCCCTCTGCTGCAACCCAACATGTTCCTTGCGGGGAAGCTATTGTTCGCTCGCACCGGCCAACAAGAAAATTGCGTTATTCCTGTCGGCTGGCCTTGATGGACATTCTGGTTCATCACATCGAACAGTCATTGCAACGTTTCGAGGTACTTGCCATCGCCTAATCTAGCATCAGTGTTTCCCAGTAGAACTGCATGATCCTGTACGCAAGTGTGCACAACCGTCCAGCAAGTCAGGCACTACTGTTTTTCTGCTATTTTATGCCTCATTGACATCTGTTCGCGTGCACTTTGGTCGGCCCCCAGGTCGCATGCAAACAACGTCTTGGAGGTTCGAGAGGCTTCTCGGGCCTACAGGGCGAATGCGCCGGTTCCACTCGTCAAGTGGCAGCCTGGAGCCCAGGTTGACTGGGATATAACCACATCACCAGGCAGACATGAGATCGTAATCAAAGGAAGAGGGTATCCGTTGTGTAGCAAAAAACATGTGGCTCATGTAATGTATATTGTAGTGAAGGCACTGAAGGATCCCACATGTGACGCTGGCTAGACTCAGTCTTGCGAGGAGCGAGGCTGTTGAATGGAAGCGTCGTCTGACCGCGCCAGAGGTTCAAGAGCAGCAATGAAGATTTTTTGCCTGTGCGCTGAGCTCAGACGTTGCTACCCGCATGCGAAGTCCTGGTCAAGTGGTGATTTTCCAGCTTGCGGTAGTCGCCTCCACGGTTCCGTGGCTTGATTGAGGCAGATCAGCTGCTGGCCATCCACTACAGCAGTGCCAGCCTCGGTGATCCTGTGCTGTCTCTGTGACCGGTTCTGTGCCGGTGCAATCTGAAGGCTAGGCCTTGGGCTTCGGAAGCTCCTAACCCAGAGCCGAGCTCCGAGAGTACAGAAAGAGACCGAGGATGGCACGCAGATCGTCGTAGAGTTGGAGCTGACCGACACGAGCGTCACGCTCGAGGAGAGCTCTTTTAGGTCATCGGCTATACCTTAAGTGCTCATGCGCCCCCGAAATGCTTCGGATGCCAGGTACTTCCCAGATAACTCAACGATAGTTTGATGATGTTACAGTGGAGAAGCACAAGCGTCCCTGAGTCCTTGGAAGCTGCTGTGTAGGATGGAGTCGGGAAGGTAGTGAGACGCAGTCCTGCGTGGCAGCATTGGCTTGCAGAGAGCTGTCCGGGACCGTTGGACGATCTCGCTGTGCGGCATGTCGCGCTCCAGATTCG